ATTATTATTATTATTATCATTATTATTATTATTATTATTATTATTATTATTATTAGGCCCCATTTAGGACGCTTATGGGCAGCAAGCTTAAAAACGTTGGTGTAGTCTCAATTCAGTTCAATAATGTGTTGTTTATACTATTTAGAATAAAAATAACATGAAGAAATCTGAAAAGCTAACAAGACAATTGGCTACTCACTTGTCTGGAGGTGATTTCAATCCGGTATATTTTTTAATGAATGGTTTTCTAAAAGTAATAAAAGACAATGACATAGTTAAATTCGTTCACTACAGAGGCAAAGATTAATTACTGCAGGTAGTGGGATTCGGTAAATGAAACCCTAGTATGATCATTCAAATGAAAGCTCTTGAACAGTTCTTTCATGTGGCACCATTCACTGTGATGCTCCTAATGTCTTAAAATTCAAGTAAAAATTATTGAGCAGTTCAACCTTAGGGTTTCACCAAGCCGAGAATGTATCATATTCTCTTGGTTCCACTGATAGACGTCCAAACTAGAAGCAACAAACATAATCTTAAGTAAAACTTACGTTTGAATTTAACGGTCAGACACAGGGGTCAGGGGTTCAACCACAGACGTAAAAGTTACAATTTTTTACTGCACAGCAAACAGAACCACATAAAAGAGCTGTATTGAAGTACTTTTCAGTCATTCTGCTTATTTTAAATACTTTGTACAACTAATTTTAAGATCATACCAAAATAACGTTCCAATAATAAGCGAGTGTGACTGATTTTTTCCCCGCAAATCTGTAGAGCCTCCATCGCCTGAGGTATGCTATGATGAAAATCACGAGGTGTCCAAATATGGTTGTTGCTGGGACGGGATTAACGCTGCCACCGGCCCAAATGGACAGGGATGCCCCGGTAACTAGTTTACACAAGCACTGACTATATGTATTGTATGTTCTAAACTTATTTACAACGGCAAGAAAATGCTAAAGAGGGAATAATGAGTCTATGAAAATGGAAAAACACAAGGATTAAGACTAGGAAGATTGAGGTGGTTTACAGAAGACGAAACATTTCGAAACACCGTTGTTCAGTAGCTGTGCATGTTGAAAAGCGAACTTCGTGCAAGATCTGTGTTTAACCGAGGTTACGCGTACCTATAAAGAAACACCTGCTGGCCAGAAATGAAAAGACGTCAAAACGTCACCGACTCATTGTAGGTACAACCTTAACTATCGCTTATCTTACGAGCATTATCTTTCTTTCAGCGTGCGAAAACAAAGAGTCCAGAAGGTTTTGCTCGATGAGGAAGGACATGTGTTTTACTCCGGGCAACTATAGACTTCTTAGGGAGTCCTGTCCAGAGACCTGCGGCTACTGCAGAAGTACGAACAACTAGTCCGCCTAACTCTTAATCTTGTTAAATAATTATACAGTAGGTTTATTCCTTTGATTCAACCCTAGAGTCGCGGGTAAGCACTACAAAAAGTAAATCAGGTCAGGTTGACCGTTCAGCTCATAGCAAAACAAGTCAGTTAAAATTCGATCATTCACACAGGAAATGAAATGCGCGAAGTGGCGCATGTGCATAGGGGTTTCTACAAAGGTCCCTCGCTTACTAACACAGTAAGCGAAGTAACTAAAATAAGTTTGACAGTTCTCTACAACGGTCAAAATCTTATTTCTCCTCAAAATATCAATATATTATCAGGTACATGGGCGATGAGAGTCAAGCCAATTATCAGCTAGTTAGGAATATCGTCTTAAGACCCCCTCTCTTGGTATAACTGATATCACTGCATTATCTGATCATCTTTAATGGGTTAACGAGACGAGAACTGGAAATTAAGGGCAACAAATAAGTACCTATCGTGTAAATGCAAGTACAAAAAGGATTTACTCAACGAGAAATATTTGAAAATGTTCTCAAAATTCTAATCCAATCGGTGTAATTTGAAAGAGTTACAAATATTATGCACACAAACAGCGCAAATCCTTGCTTGCTCGAGCTCTCATTAACGCGTGCATTAATTTTAGCTGCAGTACAAATCAAAAATCAAAGATAGATTTACCTGCTCTCAGCCAAAACAATAAAGTAATTTTATCAGTCACAGGATGAAAGGTATTTAAATATGGACTCTTATAGTTCTGGTTCAATACTAAAACCGTGTCCTCCCTTATCCCTTCTAATACAGGCATAAATTTTACTTGTTCCATTTTCAGAGGCAACTTCTACTTGCAAGGATTCAAGAGAGTGTGAAAGTAAGTGATTTCTTTATCATCTATCGAGGAGGGGAGAGGGGGGGGGGGG